TAATATGTTTTTTGGCAGGTCGGTCAGGCCACTTCGCCTTACTATTATTGATGTTCAAAAAACTTATTTCTTAAAAGGATAGGGGTTTCGTCGATGCTGTATTGTTGAAAATGAACGTTGTTTAGATCAATACCAACCAATTCCGCCCATAAAAAATCTTTCATCACCTCTCGGTAGCGCAATCCATTAATTTTCTAAAGAGAAAAGTCCAATAACACCGCCGAATCATTAACCGCACCAAACAATTGCACTCTAGGGATGAAGAGGCTTGGGTTTTACGAGCACCCGATGCTATAGCTTTATCTATTGGTGTAGCCATCCCTCGATGGCTCAACAGTTAAGATAACTTCCGACAAACTTTTTATAGTGAACTTTAAGTTTGGTACGTTGTCGAAGCGTGTACCGTTCAAAAGTGACATCTGCCGGAATAGCAGGCTATTCAAAATAACAGCTCTTATTGTAAAAACCTTTATCTGAATGATATGGATTCGGGATCGGACGTAGATGTTGTGAGTTTGCATGAATTGTATAGCTGAGGAATCATTACGCATAACTGGAAGTCACCTATACTTAAGGAATGAACTTAAAAGGAACTAAAATAACAGAAAATAAAATTTTCTAGTTGTGGTCGACCTTCGGCAGGGAATCTCTACCTGTCCGAGTGGATTTCTGACATGAAATAAAGGCTCCACATAAAAAACAAGCAGCTTTTCGGAGGTGGCTCAATATAAGCTGTAGGTCCCTCCATGTTGCAACACTTCGAGAGGCATACTATTAATTGGAGTAGGAGCTCGAAATCACTCTAGCGGTTACACTTTCACAAGAACTTCCAACAACTTACTTAATGCAGCTTTGGCATGAATTTCTAAAAATTACTACAACGAACACAGAAGGAACACCCACTCAAATCCCAAGTGTTCGACACAATTGTGCGGTTTGAAAGTTTACGCCAAAGTTGAACCACTTCGGAGTCCGTAAGGCACATAGGAACGGAGAGTGAATGGGCACAATGGCTGTAGCTCACAATTTTAAAACTCTACTCGCACACACAAATACAAGCACAAATGAGGAAATTTAGTATTGAGTAAGTCTAGTTTTTTAGCTAGTGAACTTGCTTTTAGAAGTTTATTATAAGAGTGTGATTGGGTGTATACCACGCGTGTTGCACACACGCGCATACACACACCCAACTATATATACAGAACAAGCTTACCCGTCGTGGTTGCCTTTGAGTGTGTGTGTGTGTAGTTGTTCCTTACCCACACTCCGCTTGGCTATTGAATTTCTTTGTAGTTTGGCCGCATTCTACTACCTACAGAAGCTTGTTAGTCATTCCTTGCACAGCCAACTTGTCTCCTGCGCTGCTCGTTAGTCAAACGCACAGGTTGAGCACTTAAATTCCTTTACCTCGAACAGCTGCAGACTGTCAAAGTGGACCATTGTCCAATTGCATTGCTGCAGTTAAGTGCGACTTTTCAACATATTTGTTTCTATGTTTGCGCAACTTGTGTTCTTCACCTCAATGCACACTCATGATGGGCACATATCTGACACACAGAGTATTCCATTCGCTGCTTTGGTGAAGTTGTAACGATTTTCGCAAGTCAACCTTTGAAAGTGCGTGTTAAATTTGCGGGTTTTGCGTGTGTCTCTGATGAATGTTTGCAGGTGCGTCCTTTTTGTTGTTGAGTTTTTCAGACATTTTTTTTTTTGCTGCAGTGAAATTTTTAAACTTTAAAGTCACGTAATTGAGGTTGTTTTCAATTTAAGTCGAATTTTCTGCTCAAAGATTGGTCTAGTAAAAAGTAATCCCTCATTCTTGTATAATATTAAATGGAAGGCTTTATTTATCGTTGTTATAATTATTCGAATTGCTTTAAATATATACCGTTTTACTCGATAAGTTTTTGACATTTCGAGTATAATATCGTTATGCCCCTTCGACAATTGATTTACGCAGACTTCTATTGACTGGAACAATTGGCAATTAATTTGATGGAGGTCGACAATAAAATGGAAACTTAAGAGTTTACCAACCAAACTCTCGGAGCTTTTGTCAAGCCACCACGGGAGATGCTTCTTTGCAAAACCTACCAAATAAAACCTTCCTGGCCGTCAATCCTGGCTTGCAGGCAATCCGTGCCGGCTCACTGCTCTTTGACCATCACCGTTTTTGCTTGATTTGATTTTGATACTATTAAGCAGCGACTCACCGATGGAATTCCGACCAATAAGAGTTTTTCTCGTTAGCTCCTGTGGCACATCAAAAATTATAGAAATATAATTTTATATAATTATTTCTTTGCGTGCAACTGCAGATTCCGGGAGCAAATAATAAAATTTCGATAATTTAATTTGTCCGCAATTGTAGGTAGGATTTTGGATTCCGGGCGATAATTGGACTTCTTTCTTATTATTTTTGCTGTCTCTTTTTTCGTAACTAATTTAATTAACGAGACTCCATAAACAACTGTGTAGAAGCCTCTTTGATTGCTTCGAAATATAAATAAAAAATTGAATTTTTGAAGTGCGGCTTATTTGAACATCTTGCATCTTCAATGTCATTCTTCTTTATTGGAGTTCATGACATTACCTATAAATAGTTTAGCTTGCGCTCGGAAAAATAGAAATATTCCTCAAGCGCAATTGCAAGAAAATTTCGCAAACACTTCAGACTCACTCTCCAGGCTGTTTGTGGTTCAATTTCTTATCAGACAAAATAATTTCCGCACGTGTTGCTCAAGTTGTATGCGAACAGCCATCAACATCAATTTGATAACACTCGCAGGAATTATACATTTCCCTTACATTTAGCGCAATATTTTCCATTTACACTTCAGTATGTGGGCTTGTAAAGTTTAATAGACCAAAGAACTGGAGTTTTATTACCATCGATGTCTGCGTCGATGGGCTAAATATCACTATCAAAACATTATCTTTTCCAATGCAGCCCATTTTGACATCGCCGATTACGATAAAAAACAAAACTGCTGTATTTGGGGATCAAAAAACCCCACTCGTAGCCATGGAAAGGCCAATGCAACCACAAAGAGTGGGAGGCCTTTCGCGTAAATTGCGATAAAATTAGGGAAATAGTGGAAACAGACCATCACGTGTACACTTATTTAATTGTTGAGGAACTAAGGATACGCTAGAAAACCGTTTGAAACCATTTGCATAACCTTGGATTAAAAAAGAAGCTCGATGTTTGGGTGCCACACGAACTAACGCAAAAAACATGATGGACCGAATTTCCATCTGCAAATCGCTGCTGAATCGCAACAAAATCGACCCGTTCTGAAGCGGATTGTGACTGGCGATAAAAAATGGGTCAGCTACGACAACATCGAGCGCAAACGGTCGTGGTCAACGTTCGCTCAAGGGGCCCAGACGGTGGCCAAAAACGAGCTGCTTCCCTACAGCCAAACGCTCAATTCGACTCTCTACTGCTAACAAATGGACCGTTGGAAGGCAGCACTCATCCAGAAGAGGTCATCTTTGATCAATAGAGGCCGAATTGTGTTCCATGTGGACATGGCCAGGCCACACACGTCTTTGCCTTCGCGCCAGAAGCTCCAGTAGCTCGGATGGGACGTCCGAGTGCACCCACCTTATAGTCCGGAGCTGGCACCAAGTGTTTACCTTCTTTTCCTGTCCATGGCGAAAGTGATTAATGGAGAGAAGCTGTCCTGAAGAGAGCCTGTGAAAATTGGCTCTCCGAGTCCAATAGAACGCAGCCTTCTATGAGGGGTATAACGAAGTTGGCATCTCGTTGGCAAACAAGTTTACGAACAAAACGGCACAAATTTGACTTAAATCGGACAAAAAATGTACACAAATTTATCATATTTTGAAAAATCAATAAAAACCCGAACAAAAATGATCTTATATAGGTACGGAATTGTCCTGAATGAAAGCTTGGAGGTTCTGCAACCGACAATAATGGATTTACCGGTAATTGGAATTTGTTTTGGAAGAATTGAGCAAAATGCACCCGAGCTTTTTGGGCCTAATTTAAAATTCGTGGTATCCATCGAGCAGTGTTCTTCGTGTATCTCAGATGGTTGCTTAATATTCGCAATGCAGCCATGTCATTCAAGCCCAATTCATTAGCAATGGTTTATTCTGTCACTCGTGGGTCTTCGTCAATTTTGTGCTTCAACAGAGCTAGAGTGACGTCATCAGTGGAAAGATCAGGTCTACTTTGCCGGCGTATTGCCTGTAAATTACGCCGAAACCCGAATATAATCACATGGCGAGTTTCTGTTTGCGTTGGTGCTGGATTTTCGTCTGAGCTATCCTCAGCTATCTTCCATTTTCTGGTCTCAGTTTTAGCCAAACGTTCTAAAATTTAAAAAGAAGGCTAATGAAGTAATTGCAAAGGAATTCTGTTTTTTTTTTCTTGATTTAACAAAAACAAATTGAATGTCACCATCTGACCGTACTTTTGTTAAGCCCCTCGTATGCCCATATATTTAAATATAGAGAGTCATGTAAAGTGAGTCATTGTGGAGGCTTAGGCTTAAATGTTTACTCACTACCAATGCCATGCTGGCTAATTACACGCAAAAGTAAAATGCTTAAAAGCCCAAAAGCAACTTGATGAGGGGTGATTATGTATTCACCAAAAGTGTTTTTGGTCTTTGCGGGTATTTTGAGCATTTCACTGGCATTTTAGTGAAGTGAGGGTGTCTCTCTCGTGCTTTAGTTACTTTTTTCGATTTTCTTTTATGCCGGCACGTGCGTACAACATTATTTAAAGTATTTTCATATATATGCGCATGTGTATGTATATGAGCGTGTGTTTATGCGCTCTGCAACCAACAGCTAATTGTATGCGTGGCTTTATCTAAGTAATTTTAATTAATTTAATTCCTATTGCAATGTCTTTATAACATTCGTTTATTTTATTGCCGCTACATTTTACATTCCACATACAACTTTATCTACTTTATTTGTGATTTGTTGTTATTTCTTTACTTTTTTGCTTACAGCTTTCAAACGTCCTTCAACGGTGGTATTTGTAATGGAAGGAATAACTAAGAAAAACGTAAACACCTCGAGCAAAGCAAATAAATGTATATACTACATATAGTCTTCAAGGTAGTATGAAGAACAGTGGACATAAGAAATATATCAAGAATTGTGAAGGCCAACGGCATAAACAACTTTTTCGCTACAGCTAATGGAGGCGATGCCCACGCAAGTAGCGGAAATTTGTACTAGAAAAACAAGTTAATTAACGAAGCTGACACAAAGTTGAGGTAATCAAAAGCAGAAGAAGAAGCCAAATAAGAGAAAGAAGAAGCACCAAGGTATACATATGCACATACATATTTCAATGGGAATGCATATAATTGGAGTGTGCCATAGAAAAGCAAGTTGAGTGCAAGAACTAGAAGCTCAAAACTCAAAATAAGAGATTGCAAGGCAAAGCAACAACAGTAAGGCACTTCGAAATTCCACAATAGCACCGAAAGTAGAAGTACAAAAAAAAAAATAATACTTTGAATTAGCCAAAACCAAGTACACTTCGCATGCTCGCCATTGGCGTATGCCGAGGTGTGTTTTTTTTTGTTGTTTGCCTCATTAGAGCGCGTCAAGCGTCGTGAAAAGCAAAACAATTAGCCATGGATTGAATAGAGACTCACAGCGCGCAAATGGAAGCGCGCTAAAAAACTATTTTTGCTATAAGAAAATTGAAACAACAGAAAAAGAGAGAGATAGAGATAAAGAGAGAGATAGACAGGGAGCAAGAGAGTAATTGTTTCGAGCAGAAAATTCCCTACAAAAATTATATGTTTGTCACAAAAAACTTAAGTACAAGTTCTGACGCTACAAATTAAATTGTAACTTCCGTATGCTGTTTGCAACAAAAGCAACAAAAGCACACATTAAAATCACAATTTAAGCAAAAAAATAAGAAGAAGCTGCGCAAGTCGTGAGTATGGTTAGTGCGCCACAAAATTAAATAAAATAAAAAAATAAAAATTAATGAATTAAAAAAAGGTAACCACAAAACTGCAAAAATAGAAAAAGCAAAATAGCAAATAACAACAAAAATACGGAAACCAAACATAAAATGGTTTTGTTAAAAATACAACGACAGCCAACAGCGCCGCCATCAGTGGCAACATTGCTGCACAGTGGCAGAAGTAAAAATAATTTGATGCCAACAAGCTCGGCAGCAATAACAGCAACAACAGCAACAACGACACAAATATGCATGCCCATAACGATAGCGGGTACCTGCACACCCGCAGCCGTAGCATCAGCAACAGCTCCAAGCTTATGCAGTTCAATGTCAGTTGCATGCAAAGCAACAACAACAGCAACATTAATAACAACAACGCGTCCCTCAACAATAAATGTAAGATCAACAATATCAACAACCTGCAACAAGGATAGCAACAGCAAACGTAACAAAAACGATAGCAACATCAGCACGAATAGTAAAGACAACAACAATGCAAACGCTATACAAAACTCCTTGATGACACGTCTCTCGCCGCTAACTACCAGCTTGTCTACGAATAGCTGGCGCAGTTGCATTGTTGGCCTTGTTACGTTGTTGGTGTTTACAGCGAATTTCAACATCAGCGCCGGACAAATCGATTGGGATGATGATGATGATCCAGGTGAGTTATTCTTAGTATTCAGATACACCCACATTTGTACGTATGTATATATATACATAACACTGAATTTTCGTTGTAAATTTACTGCTGAGTTACATAATTTCTAGGTCATATCACTCTGATAGACAGACCATAGAGCGACTGAGAAAAAAGTGGAAAATATTAATAATTTACTCAGTGCAAAATTATTATTATATACATACGTATATGTACATATATACACGTCGAAAACAGTAACGGCTTCGCCTGAAAACCAAATTTTTAATGTTATATTATCTATATTTTACCATTGTCATAGCCTTCATGTATCTTTGTATGTGTGTAGCAGAAAATAAAATTTCGCTTAATTAAAATTACGTATACGCGACGGTGTACCTTTGCTCCGACATAGCATTCACTTACCTATAATATTACGAGTCTATATACATACATACATACATAACTACACTCTTGCAAACTTATATTGAGCGACGCGTGTAAAATATTCAATTACAACGCCGACTCTGTGCGCATAATTTCGTGTGCCACACACATACACACACACATACATACACAGACATTTATAATTGACATAATGCTACGCTTTGGCGTATTGACATCGAGGACGCAAATTAGGTCAGCCAACGTAATTTTTAATGAGTTGAAGCAGCGGTTGAGAGATGTGAGAGATGCTTCAATAACAATGGTCCTTGTTAAATTTGTTCTATCGCCTTTTAGCTATTGGAGCACTTGACACTGTTGTTTTATTTTATTAAAATTCATTTTAATTTGTTGTCCTTTTCAATGGCGCACATTTTAAGGCTTTATAAAATATGATTTCAATGCTTAAATTAAATTTTTTGAAGCCTTCTTTTATATATATTTTAGAAGAGTGTATAATTTTCGTCTCTTTTATTATGTTTTATACTAGAGCTTTTAACGGTTTCAGCTCAAATTTTATTTCGGAGAATAAGTAATGCAAAAGCAATGAAATGAATAAAATAAATTACTTAGTATAAATTTCCTGGCAATAAGAAATATGTCTGCTAAAGACTACATGACCAATAGACATATAAAACAATTGCAGCAGTTTTTGGCTTGACTCGCGAGATTTTATGATAGTCTCCTTTTTTATGTTTATGGAAGTGTGAAAGTTACCTGCTTTTGAGATTGTTAAAAATTTAACCTAAAACTAGTATAAACTTAGCAAAAATTGCAATAAATGGGTTTCAAATATTCCCCAACAGGCCCAACAGGGAGCTTAACAGCATTGAGTTGAAGTAGTTTCATGGAGTGTAGTCACCTTGTCCTTCCCAACTTCGAGTCCGTCTCCGGTTTTGCCTTGCTTTATTTCAAAGAGCCGTATAAGTTTTCACACCACCGAACGCCGCTTTTATATCGAGAAACAGGAGAAACGATTTTTTTGTCACACGCCTTGTTTCGAGGCTTGGCTAATATTTGGTCTACAGTGAATCGACCATGACTAAAGTCACCATAATAAGGTCAAATCAGTTCGTTAGCGCAGAGTGTAAGGCCTCTCCTATTATGAATTGGACAGAGCACAGTCAGGTTTTAATCGGCTATCATTCTTTGCCCTGTCATATTCCGTAAAGAATCTGATACATTTAATGTAATATTTTACTCGATGATGTTCAAGTGGCTGTGAAATGTTAAACAGGTTGATATGTTAATTGAACCAGCTTTAAGCGCGCTGTGTGGGGTAAATTCGTGTATGAATTATTTATTACACGAAAAAAATTATCCTTAGAAACGTTTACATCAATAAAAAAAGTGTGAAAAATAACGCGCAAATTGAATTACAATATACAAGAAATAAAGTATGAAATAATAAGAAACAGATGGTAATTAGGTTTCCTAAGCGATTGACGTGGAAGCGACAACGTAGATTTGAAGTGACCGATGTCTCGCGGCCGTCACACTTTTGTAATTTGATGCATTGTGTAACCAATATGTGAATCCTATCTCGTTTTCAAGCGGGCGAGCTGTTTGTTATGATCGTTGTGGTTAGCTCAGTGCTTGACCCCACTTGATTATTGCACTTCCGAATTCTTGAGTATGCGTCAATATCCTATTATTATGCTAGTCTCCAGAAGAAGTTAAATGTTGTCCATACATGCCCGTTATACGTGGCTTCATTACGCCATCTATTATTGGCTATTATTTTCTGTGAAATCCAGTCCCAGTAGACATTTTGCTAAGGATTGAGGTATACCGGCAACTTGTGGAGAACTCGTCTACCGCACATTTGTCCGTTTATCTTCATGATCGGGTACTCAGATGACGCTCATGTTGAGTTTTTCTGACAAGAGTATAAACTTGTACATTTTAGTGTCTCTTTCGACGTGCGACACACACGCAATAACGAAACATTTAAGGGAGAAAAACATATGTGGAGACACAGATCTAACAGTGTGTTTCTCACTAGCTTTCCAACCACATGTGAGAGAATATTGTCACTTAGAAAACGGCTGGATCACATAAACAAATCATCTTTTATAATGTTACAAGAGTGAGTGTTTGTATTGCCTGGGAAGTTGAGTGTCACCTCTCATTCCATTTTCGATATTTTTATTTTATTATTATTGCATAATTTATTTATTATTTTATTTTGTAATGACAATATAAATATTTTACAGATTTAAGAATTTTATAATAAGCAAAATTAAAATTGTATTTAAAAGAATTAAAATTCGCACTAAAACTGACTTATCAAAAAAGTTATGAAAAATAAAAATTCAATTCATAACGCAATAAAAGGAGCAAAGAAAATTGGAATTGTTAAGTATTGTATTTTCGCAATATTATTATTTAAATGTTTATATATATCATAAGAAATTTACCTAATTTAACTCTCGATTGGCCCACAAAATATAAATATGTATATACATTTTTTTAAAGTGGAAAAAAATTAAACCACTGCACTTGTAATCTCGTTTTATATTACAAATCATAGGAGTTGTAAATTAATTTGAATTTAAAAGAAAGTATAAATTTTAATTTTAATTTTCTTAAAAATCAATAATATCAATACTATTTATATCTTTATAATTCTATATACATACAGACATTTCTGTACAATTGTATTAATCGGAATTTATCAAAGGAAAAATTAAAATTTTACAGAATATTCAAATTGAATTTAATTCAAAATTCAACACTTTTTAACATTTAGAGAAATATTTGCCAAAGCTTCAAGTGGTTGGTATGGAAAATACCTAAATGGTATTAAAACCCAACTGGTCAGAACAGATCGAAGTTATGTTGTATGCCGAAAATTGTATGATATAATTGTAGCGGCTGCATCATTATTATTAATAAAGTAATACATATGTTATAGACCGCAAATGTTATTTTGCTATTACTTCTGTTAACTCAACATTATGTTAAATGACTCTGTTGTTAGTACTGTGAATATAGACCTTGGATAGAAGAATATGTTTAAAACTCATTTCAAAAGCTTCGTCAAGTTAAGCTGCACTCAATCATTTAACATTGATAACTGTTTTCCTACTGTTTTACTTTCTTATCAAATTTTTTATTTACGTCCATATTCAAATAAAAACTCAAGTTTTCGTACATGAGACTAATAAGAACCTGAACTATTGTGTTTTTTACCAGTTGTACGAAAAAGTACGAAGGACTTAGAAGTCAATATTTTACTAAATTATATACTATATACTAAACTCAATTAATTTGCGAAATCCTAGTTACTGCCACGGTGTATTGAAAAAGCTTATTTTTTCTAATATTTTTAAAAGAAACTAAATAAAGTATACAATTTTTTTTTTTATATATAAAAGTACAATATGTGGAAGACGTTTGATGAATATTTGAATGAAAAATGGTATAAGTTAAGGCGTTGGCAGTGTCGTGAAGTAGACCGTCCACAAGAAAGTGCTTTCGCGGTAGTCTTGATAACTTTTTCAATTCTTATCCGAAATCAAAAATCCAAATTTTTTCATAAAATAGGTGAATCCTTGTCTCTGAACGCAGAAAATTTAAAAAATATAAAATCAAAATTTTTGTAGCGTTTTTTACAAAAAAAATTAATTTTTTGCATAAAATTGGGCCACAAATTGGCTTGTAAAATGAGCTGAAATCAAAGATAAAATAAATCCTCGAGGGACTACAAAAACATGCTTAAAAGAAGTGTGGAAAAAGCTAAAATTTCGGTTCGAAGTATAAACGTTCTAAAAGAAGAAGAACAATACATATTCCGATCAAAATTTATATCTACCTGAACAGAATGACCATATCCGACGGCGAGATGTCTTTTTGAATGCAAATCAGTCCCAAGCTTTTGAGATATTTCAACCAAACTTGCTATACAGTTGAACTGATATATTTCATTTAAAGGCTCATTTTTCGATACCGACCAGATCAGACTAATCTAACATATAACTACCGATTTTATTTGTAACAGGTAGACCCTATTTAAGAGATTTTTCAGATATGAGGATTTGGGTCAAAAAGGCAGTAAGAATGCATACAATTTCGGATTTTACACCGCATATACATATAAATAATGACATCGAAAATCATTGAAAATGGGAAATTTCAGCAATCAATTTTTCAGCTATTAGAATTAATACCCAAAATGTTTAAATGATACAAAGAGCCCGCCAAGGCCGATGAAAGTTTTTCCTTCGGAATGCTATGTCAAGTCTTACGAGTAGCTATTGGACATGAAATAAAATCTCATTAAAAAAATCCATCAGTGATTCGCAGGTGGCTCAAACTAAACTGTAAGGTACCTTCAAACTTGAAGATGGACACCACAAATTGCAGAAGAATATCGACCGAATATTGTTTCGGCGGCTATAAACTTGAAAGAGTTTTATATTTGTTTTAACTAAAATTTAATACTTAATTAACATGTTGTTATATTTCTCTTACTGGTAGCACATAAACAATTCTTTACTTATCATTTTTAAATGTGTTTTTAAATCCTATAATAAATTACCGTCACTTTGGAGATGTTCATGCAGAAATCGCAGTAA